ATGAAGCGAGAATTTTGGGAAGACTGAACTGTGGCATTTGAATTTGCCCACCTACTGCCATCCCCTACTCTCAAGCTTGGCAGCAGCCATGAAAACAGCAGCCCACATTCCTGATGTAACTTTCTGGTGTGAGAGAGAACAATACAGATTTTTATATAAAAAATGTTCCTTTGTGTTGTGACTTGTCTAATGGCTACCTGAAAGCCATGCTCAGATGTGCTGTGCTACACCTGCAGTCTCAAGGATTTCGTAGGACTGAAGTGGCCTGCCAGGCAGCATTTGTCAGGAGCATTTAAAGGCAAATAAATGCACTATGGCCCCAAGGAAGAAGGAATAACAGATAGGGGAAATAATAGACAGACTGAAAAGCATGGAAAGGAAGAGGCTCAGAAAGGAAGAATATAAGGAAATAAGGACTTTGAAATCTCCCATGTATAGAATACAGCAGGACTGAGGAAGGACAGAGAACCCAGCTTTCACTTCTGACTTTTAGCCTCTAGAAAAGAAGTGAAGACCCACATAGAGTTATAAATTGCCTAGATAACCTTTGGTGTACCCACTCCAAGGCAATTTGCAAACACTGAGGTATGTTTTAATTTAAAAAAATTAGTTCTAAACATTTAAGGAAATTCTTATCAAATCACTAGCTCACTATTAAGCTAAAAGAACTGAGATTTCAGTTCTTTTAATATATAAATATTATATATTTATAAAAATATAATTTTAGAAAGAGTTTACATAAACCACTAAACAAATAATTTTAAAGTACAAGCAACAGCAGTGAGTTCTGGAGAGGAGGTAGTTTGAATCCCAGAATTATCACATTTAATAGGGAGAGAGCCAATTTTCAGCAATGGGGAAAAATATCTACTAGGTATGTAAAAAATGAAGTACAAAGGGCTGGAGAGATGACTCAGAGGTTTTTAAACATAAAGCAAAGAAAACCAGCCCACAAATCACAATCCCAGATAACCTAGACAACAATGAGGACCCTAAGAGAGACATACATAGATCTAATCTACATGGGTAGTAGAAAAAGACAAGATCTCCTGAGTAAATTGGGAGCATGGGGACCTTGGAAGAGGGTTGAAAGGGAAGGAAGAGGCAGGGAGGGGAGCAGAGAAAAATGTAGAGCTCAATAAAAATCAATTAAAAAAATGAAGTACAGCTTATCCACAAGGGGAAGAAATTAAATAAATAAAAAGAAATGAATACAAACCGTCATTGAGTAATCCTAACGGATTTACATCAGTCAGACCCCACCCTGGTCTGGCCCTGGTTGGCCTCTCCTGCTTACCCTGGATCAGCTCATTAGACCCCCTACCCACTGTGCTGTTCTTCAGACCATCTGTCTTGCTCCTACTCTTGGCCTATGCGATGCTCTCCCTCTGAAATGTGCTTTTCCCACTGCTTTCCATAGCTCACCCTGCTCACTCAGACTCTATTCTTTTCTGCTTCCCAGAGGTGTCTTTTCATCTGCCTTATCTACAGCAGCCAGGCTTCCCCCACTCCCTACCCTTTCTGATACTTTACTGTTCAGTCCATCACTCTCTCAAATGTTTTCTTGCTTTCTTTCTTGCATATCTGCTTTACTAGCGTGAAAGGTCCTTGGCAGCAGGTCCTTTATTTGCACACTGTGGGTCACTCAGCATTGAGACAGAGCAGGAAATGAGCAATCAGCAAACAAACAGAGGCAATCTATACATGTTGAATAATAACAAAAACTATGAAAAACTTTTAAGACACATCTGAGATGTCTCCCTCAGCTCAGAATTCTTGTTTAAGAAGAATTTAATTATTAGAGAGGATCTGTTCCCTGACGATTCTTCAGTGAGGTAATGTCTCATGCCACCTTGGCTCTTACGTCTATTCCAGGAAAGGCAGCCACAGATGGGAGAAGGGGGCATGTGGGTGGCGGTGAGGAAAGTTCTGTCCACGGGAGCAACTGCTGGTCAGGCTCAGTACTCCAGAGTGCTGCAAGTGAATGTCTCTCTCTCTGCCCAGCAGAGTCAGGCCAGTTCTGGCTGTGGTAGGGTTATAGATATCCCTCAGTTTTCAAAGTGTATTATTCTGGCAGAGGGCGGAGAATGAGAAGCATTGTGTAGTATTGCCTGGCTGCAGAGAAAGGAGTCCGTGCACTAAGTGGACTTGGTCTCTAGAAAGGTGTCCTTGGCTTTGTAAGTCCTAAGACTACCTCAAAAGAAGTGATTCTGTAGAATTAAATTTATGAACAGCTATGAGTTTATCTCAGCTTGATTTCAACCATGTATTTTTAGTATGTGTAGAAATTTTTTTTAGAACTCCTATATGGAACTTTTTACTTTGTCAATATTGTAGTCACTTTCTTTTCTTTCCAAACATACTATAATAACTTCAGTTACATGTTCTGAGGCTTAGGAGCAAGTGATAAAAATATTGTTTCTGAAGCCAGATATATTGGGTTCAAAGCCTGGCTTTGTCACTCACCAGCTGGGTAGGTTAGCCTTTTGTGCCTCAGTTTCTTTTTCTGTAAATTGAATGACAGTAATATCTGTATTACAGCGTTATTATTAGGATTTCATGAGATAATACATCCAATATACTTAACATAATTCTGTCTTGCTTAGTATAGTTCAGAAGATATTAGCTGATGCAGCCACAACTGCTCCTAAATTATAGCTGTGACTGTATGTACGTATGTCTCAAAATGATTTTTAAAGATCTTATCGTAGGGCTAGAGATAATGCCAGTGGTAGAACATGTGCCTAGTATACGTGACACAGGGTTAGCACCCAGTACCACCCACATACACGAAGGAGCTGAAATTACAATGTGTTACAACCTTGTAAAGATCAGAGAGTTCCTGGCTTTTATATGAATCAGTCCCAGGATGGTTTCCTGGAGTGCTCCTGTATAAAGTTTTATTGTCTGAGGTCTTTACATTTTAGTTCTGACATGTGTCAGGCATGTGTTTAATCTTTTAAACAATGCCTCCCGTTAACTTGAGTCTATGAACACTTTTTTTCAGCTACTTAGAGACATTTTATTTTTTTTTCTGATTTTCTATTTCTTAAATATAAAAAGTTATTGGAAAATTAAGTCCCTGGGATGAAGGATAAAAAAATTATGTCTACACAGATATTAAAATTAAAACACATCTAATTTAGTTCAAGTAAACAAGCTGCAACAATACTACCTGCGAGATACTAGAAGGGCAATGATGAAACAAGAATACAGTCCTGGACCTTCAGAGGTCTGCACCATTGAGAGGGAGCTGAAGTTGAGAGATGCCAACGTTCTCTGCCCTGGTACATGAAAGCCAAGAGAAGGGCCCTTAACACTCTCTTGGGCCCTATGAGGGACTTAATGATGCACCCCAGCAGGATTATGTCTGAACTGAGCCTCCTCGATGGCCAAGGGAAGAAAGGCTGATGGTCTGTCCTAAGCGGGAAACGGTGCTGGGCATGGGATGGAAAGCAGCACGGAGCTCATGGCAGAGACTGTGGCTGTGTGTGAGAATAAACAGCTGGATAGTGGTATTAAGTTTTAAAAAGTAATATGGGAAATGGTAATATATGAAGCTAGGGAGTCAAATGTACAGGGGCCAGATTCCAGGGGTACCACGATCTGTGTCATACTGAGAAGCCTGGGTGCTAAACTTTTCAGCAACTTTAGGAAACTTTAAGAAAAACAGCAATCCTCGGGCTTTCATTTTGGAGGTATAATTGAGATGGCAGAGGCAAAACCCAAAAACTAGAAAAGGTGAGGAAGAGGCAGCAGTATAGATGGCCATTATAGTTCCTGGAGACAGCAGGGTCAGATGGAGGGCAAGGCGGAGGGGAGAGTGGGGAAGAGATAGCCCCAGGTGAAAGTGAAAGAATCTGGAGACATAGGTGGGGCAGGGCAAGACAGGATCCAGGATGACTTCCAGGTTTCAGGCCTTGAGTAACTGGGTAGATGAAAATGGCAGTTAACTGAGACAGGTACAGGTTGGTTGCTTGTTATTTCAATTTTGGTTTTGTCCTGAGGGGCAAAGGAAAATAATATACTAAGTTGGGTGGTACCAAGCTTGGGACAGCCACAGAAGAGGGCAGAACTAGAGGGAGAGGTTCTAGTAATTAACAAGTTGATCCACGAAAGCAGATGGAAAGTCGGGGAAATGTGTGAAGACAAAATAAGAGCAAAGAAACAAGGCTGCCAGGAGCCACAGAGCTCAACAGTACCAGACGGAACAGGCAGGAGAGCCACGCTTGGCTTTCAGATAGCGCTGGACACTGCTAAACACAGACGTGATGGCTTTGTCTTCTGCACCCACTACGTTGGGCCCTGTGCTCCTGTTTTCATAGCACACCTCAAGTGATCGTTATCCAGATGCCAAGCTGGTGAGAGTCACGTCAGGGAAGTCACGGAACTTCACCAAGGTCAGAGGGTGAGTTGGTCACAATGCCCAAGCTCTTAATTCCTCTAAAGCAAAAGTTCTTCAGGGTGTAGCGTAATACCAGCAGGATAAGGACAACTCTACGCCACGTTTCTATGCTTTCTAGAAGACCTGTATACTGAATGTCTAAATAGTAAATACTGGGTCCTGTGCAATCATGTCTCAGCTAGTTCAATGATTCTCTTCACAAATTTGTATTTCATAAATACCTGACTGGCTGCTGATGCAGACAGGGCAGTTGTTTTCCTGACTGCAGCCCTGTGGTGATAACACAAAGTGCAAGCCCTGGTTGAGCTAGTTAGTGTTGCTCAAGGAAAACTACACATCTCAGACTTGGGCGTTTGCGCTGACTCAGCTTCTCACAAATCTGTTGGCTCCAAGAACAGCTGGAGAGGACATGCTCAGTTTGGCATTAAACTACACAAACATGGACAAAGTCACTAAAATATACCTTTTACAGAAGGAAGGAATATTTTAGGTGATACTTTGTGTTCCATTTTAAGGACAGAATGAGAAGTTACAAGTCCAGAACAAAAGCAGTCATTGCCCCATTTCCTTCCAGTGGAAGCAGAGCAACACTTACCATTCGGTGGATAAAAGACAGCGTATTCTTCCAGTCCTAGCTTTCCTGTAAGAGAAAGCCACAGATGGTCAAACAGAGTTTGCTGGGTTTGTTTTTGTTTTTCTGAGACAGAGTTCTCTGTGTAGACCTGGTATCCTGGAACTTGCATTTTAGACCTTGAATTCAAAGAGAGTTCTGTCTCTGCCTCACAAGTGCTGGGGACTAAAGGCATGCACTGCCACCACCTAGTTAAAAAAAAAAACAAAAAACCAACATTCTGTGAATGTCCTAATAACAAATGGATAATGAATGGAGTTTTAAGAATAACCACAGTCTAACTTTATTTTCTTTCTTGATATGGAATTAGTTGAAAATCTGTCAGCCATGTGTCTGACACCAACAAAGCCTTTTAGGAATTAAAAGGAATTAAAATCAATAATATTGCTTAAACATTGCTTTCAATTTCCTTAAGCACTTGAAAATAATTTATCAGCATCCAATTGCTTTTCTAAACTTAAAAACACTGCTCAGTAAAGCAAGTCTGATGTCTTGCCATATCCCATTAGCTTGTACTTTTAGAAAATGTGCTAAGAGTTCAAAACTAAATATCTTTTTTTTTTCAAGACAGAGTTTCTCTTTGTATCTTTGGCTGTCCTAGAACTCGCTTTGTAGATCACGTTGGCCCCAAACACAGATCTGCCTGCCTCTGCCTCCTGAGTGCTGGGATTAAAGGTGTGCACTACCACACCTGGCCAAAACTAAATATCGTCAACTGTGTAACAGTCATGTATCCTGACTCCCAACACAGTTTGTGTGATAGAGAAAAAGGACGGATGGTTGAAAACAGCATTGTTCTGGGACAGTCCTTCTCTGTGATGTTCAAGAGCTGCTCACTTTCCCATCATCCACTGAGTAACTTGAGGTGGGGAGCTGGCTAGTTTCATGTTAACTTGACACAAGCCAAGTTATCCAAAAGGATCAAACCTCAGGTGGGGAAACGCCTCCATAAGACCAGGCTGTAAATAGACAAGCCTGTAGGGCATTTTTTTTTTTAAATTAGTGGCTGACTGGAGAAGGCCCAGTCCACTGTGGGTGGCGCCATCCCTGGGCCTGGTGGTCCTGGGTTCTATACAAAAGCAGACAGAGCAAGCCCTGAAAAGCAAGCCAATAAGGAGCACTCCTCAGTGGCCTCTGTGTCACCTCCTGTCTCCAGGTTCCTGCCCTGTTTGAATTCCTGTCTCACTTCCTTTGATGATGAACTGTAATATGGACACATAAGCCACTGCCTTTGTCATGGTCTCCTCGCAGCAATACTAACCCTAATGAAGACAGGGGGCTTTCAGCTTGACAGTTTTCTGAGCAACTCTGCATTTACTAAAAAGACATTGATTTTTGCATTGGGATTTGAATTAAAATTTATTACGGTTTTTTTTTATTGGGTATAAGGCAGGGAGAAGAGTAAAAAGTGTGGCCATCTTAGGTTAAGGTGGGGACACACAAAACTGATCTTTGTGAGAAGAAACAATGGAATAAGAAGACCTGGACACACAGGTGATCACAGCAGTAGACATTGAGACAAACATGGCAAATACAGGGTACAGTCCTCACCCCATGGCCTACAACCCAGGCCAAACCACAAATGACGGAATAGGACTGCTGACTTCTTTTAAATGGACTTGAGGGTTTCAGTGCTCGGGGAGGGAACTGATGATAGGCTGGCAGACATGAGACAGGCTAGGTCAGCAAGGACCTATAATTTGCGGGCCTGGAATGTGAAGTTTCTCAGGCACTGGGGCTCTGGAAGGGCGAGGATGAATATAGACAGTGTGAGATAATCAGGGAGGGAAAGAAGATGAGGTTAAGATGGCAGGTGGAGGGTCTTAAATTACAGCTCATTTTAGTCCACTAGGTAATTCAATTTTATCATCACTCTATGTGCAGGATGGGATGTAGGTGTGTGTGTGTGTGTGTGTGTGTGTGTGTGTGTGTGCGCGTGTGTTTGCATGTAGAGGCCAGAGATCACAGTCAATTATCTTCCAATCACCTTCACCTTATTTTCTGAAGCTTCAGCTAGGCTAGCTGACCAATGAGTGGGATCCACTTGCCTCTGCACCCCAGTGCTAGAGTTTCGGCACACTGCTCTGCCTGGCTTTACTGGGAACCAAAGTCAGAGCCTCGTGTTTGCACCACAGACAACTTATCAACTGAGCCATTTCCCTACCCCAACATTCTCTTTAGATAAAAGAAAGAAAGTTGTTATGTATTCATTCAGCCCCATGTTGGGAAAGCCTGACCCAACACAAGATGATGGAGTTTACCCTACCTAGGGCAAAAGCTGGAACAACCAGGCAGCAAGAAAATCCTGGGTAAATGGGTTCTTTCTCCATGGAAGCAGCAGAAGGGTCACACATAAACAGACAATGGGGCAGTGAGATTTTAGTGCTCGGTGATGAGGGAAAAAGAGAAAAGGGCTCAAGTCAGTTCAGTCTCCAGGCGATGGCAGGACCCTGAGGCAGCTCATGTTGGACAGAGCACTAGGATAGAAGTTAGAAGGGAGCAGCACGTTCTTTATGCCATCATTTTAAGCCTAGCAGGACTAGACATTCGAAGATTAATTCACAAAAAGAAAGTTAAGAAAAATTGAAAAGGTGAATCCTTGTGATGAGTTCATGGGTAGGGAAGAGAAGAAAATCCGACAGATTTGGCGCAAACGGGACAGAGGAGGCAGGAGATGGCAAGGACTAAAAAGGCAGCTGCGATCTGGAGGACGATCTGGGATTTGTTGCTGGGTGCTGACGTTGAAAGGAAAAGACAGTCGTTACTATTGTAGAGAAATCAGAAGTAATTTTCAGTTTAAAAACTGGAAATACCAATATAAGTTATAAACCATTCAAACATTCTTGGAACGATTATATAAGTCTGTAGTAATTTCTCTTTAGTATTATTAAAACATTACCTCTGATGTAGGATTTCGGTGGTGAAGCGCTGTTGTATGCAAAATGACCCAGTACAGACGTATCCCGTGAAAAACAAAGTAATACCTGGATATAACATTAGAAAAATAAACAATGAGCACTGCTATAAAACAACTGGTAACCATTAAATTAATTATAATTTCATACAGAGGAAGCCCTGGACTGGGATGGCTTAAGTTTGGGGCTGCTCTTTGTAATGGAAAGAGCGCCCTCTGTTGGTAGACTTACACTAAATGCTCATGGAGGCAGCCAATTCTCGTGAGGATTTTCCCCAATTTGTCCCCAAACTTTAAACACCAGAAAACGCAAGTTGCTAACTATGTAATGATTTTCCTGTGTTTTATCTGGAGACTAAAATCACCTTGAGAAACTTAACAGATGAGAACTACACAGGGCACCTGTGGGTGATCACACACAAGCACCGAGGGGGTACAGGGACTGGGAATCAGACTTAATAGGTGTGCTACAATGGTGAGGGCCTCCATCCCCAGAAAGTGTGGCAGCGGCAAAGCAAAGGTTTTCCCAATACAGGTAGAAGCTGACTGTCCCGGTCAGCAGGGGCACACAGCAACTCTATCAAGAAATAAAACAGAGAGGGTGCAATCAGGACCAACCCAATAGAACAGCGTCAGCTGGACTGTTGACACCAGCCTGAAACTTGGGGCAGGAGTCCAGTCCTCAGGAAGGTTAAAACATTCAGAAGACCTGGGATCCCGACTCATCACAAAGAGGACTGCATAGGAAAAATGGGCACAGAATGAGGAATGATTTTGGACCCTTTGTGGCAGGGCAGTTACCCATCTAGACTTAATTTTGCTGGACTTTCAACTGTAGCTCTACAGCTTATTAACTGGATGATAAGGGCAGGTGACTGGACTTCTAAGTATTTGTGTCCTTATAAGTATATGTAAAATGCATATAATAACAATGCTAAGGTCTAAGTGTATTGTGGGGATTAATTGGTATGCAGGAAGTATTTAGAACAGTACCTGGGTATGTCACATTATTTAAATGTTATCTACAGTTATTGCTAAACTGTTATTAGTCTTCTATATTAGCTAGTCTCTGTCCTTGAAATATTTAATTAGGGATTTGTTTATATCGCTCAGCTACCGTGTTTCTTCAACTTAAAACTGTATCTACACTTCTGGGAAACACTCAAGCATTATACTTTTGAATGATCCCTACTTTTCTATATTTATGTTTATAGGACTTCTATAATTCTGACCTACGCCTCGTCAACCTTCTGTCCCTTTCAATTATGTCTATCACTTCAAACTCCACTTTTGAGAATTTGCGCAGATTTCTAAGTCAGCTGACTGTCTTCTTTCGCTTTTATGATCCACCAAGCACAATGCCAGGATGAAGTAGGGGTACATCAAAAGAAAGTCATGCAAACAAACCTTGCTCTCAGTTATGGTGAAGGGATGTAACAAGCAGCAAGAGTGGTGCCAAAGTAAATTAGATAGCACACTAGGTGGCAAGTCCCGTAGGAACAAGATAAAGGAGGCCCAGAGAAGGGCTTGTCAGTCCATAAAGAGTGGTTTTTGAGAAGGTGCCCTTTGGTCAAACACTTGAAAAGGGTTGAGAACCTTAGTGTGTGGCTGACTGGGGAAGAGAACCCTGAGAAGGAAACGGAACAGCTGGAATGCAGTGGAGAGGGGAGCTCTGGGGCTGTGAAGGTGGAGCATCAATGCCAGGTGTTGGGGACAGTTGTCTTTGTGTCAGTGGGCATATGCCTAGCACTCAATAGTAACACTACACTAAAGAGTAAGTAACAGTAAATTCCATTAAGACAGGCATGCTGGTATTATACGCTCACTGTTATGCTAAGAAATATGTTTCCTTTCTAGGATACAAATGGCATAAAGTGGATATTAGGTTGTAAATATTAACAATGAAAACACTTAACATTGCGTTTAGTCAGCCATATTGATGAGACTTCATGGGTGGAGTCTCTCGGACAGGTTTCCAGGAGACACAATCTCACAGCAAACTCTCTTTCCTCTGTCTTTTCAATCTTTCTGTCCCTTCTTTCACAATGATCCCTGAGCCTTATTCACAGGAATTATGTTCTAGATGTGTCAGTTAGGACTGGGGTCCATAACTGATCAGTTATGATGGTCTCCACCTGTTTCACAATAACCCTAAGTAAGGAGGCAATACTTGTCTGCATAGCCTAGTAGCCTAATTGGACTTTAGGCTGGCTCACCAATAGGGAAATCAAGCCTGGTATTGGAAACCTAACCAGCCACCTAAAGATGGTACTCAGGGAGGAGGCACTCAGGTCAGTTCTAGCACAGGGCCCTCTGTCTTGTATCTTAAGTGCATGCTGTCTTTAGCAATAAAGACTTACCTTCCAATTCTGGGCCAACCAAGGGCAACAGCAATAGCCTAAAATACTTTGGGAGTCTCCTGAACAACTCCTGTACCTAAGGCTTCAGGGGGCATTTTGAAAAAGTGGCAGAAAGTTTAGTAAAGAGCTGAAAGTTTGCTGTGAGGCCGTGTCTTCTAGAAATATCCGAAGCTACATCCATGAAATCTTAGCAACACAGCTGCCTAAACATGACCTGACCAAGGAAGAGACCAAGAGCCATGCAAATGTGGAAGGGGGAAAACCCATGAGACCTCCACCCTAGACAAAGAACTCCAGACAAACAAGGATGCTAAGAGCTGGAGAAGCAGTCCTCCCTGGGAAAAGCACACTGACTGGTTATCTACTGCCAAACTGTCACCTCTGAAACACACAAATACAAATAACATTATATGGACTGAGTGAGTTGTATTTCTGCATTTCAGAATACATAAGTATATTTGAAAGTTAAACAACTGCAGAGAAAAAGACCATTAATTTGAAAAAGAGCAAGTTGTGGGGAGGGCATGGAGGGAGGAAAAGGAAGGCAGAAATGATGTAATTATAATCTCGAAAATTATTTTAAAAAATTGATCTTATAGATGTCATTACATTGACAATCTGTAAATGGCAAGATTACCCAGGATTGTATTACTGGACACAACATAATCATAGTGATCTTTATAAAGAAGACAGAGGCAGCAGGGCACTGAGAGAGACTTGATGATGCTGTCTACTGCTGCCTCTGAGAATGGTGGAACCAGCTGTAAGTCAACGCATAAATGTCATTCTAGAAGCTGGGAAAGACAAAGAAATGGGCTCTCCTTCAGAACTTCCAGAAATAATGCAACCCTGTGGATACCACAAGTGTGAGCAAATCAAACCACTTAGATTTCTGTCTCAGAACCTCAAGTAAGCTAGTACAAATAATAAACTAAGATAACTCTGAATAAAGGCAAAAATACCCAAAAATAAACCAAGGAAAATCCAACGGAAATGTTTATATCAACATCCCCTTAGTTTAGCAGGCTGGGGTAGCACAGTAACTTTAGAAGAAGCACTGTGCTTAAATATATCCCATAGAGGCGCTGCTGCCCATAGCCCCGAGAAGGCAGGACATCTGAGATGCCCGAGGGGAACACTGGGACTGTAAAGTGAGAATGCCAGGGGTAGTGCATAGACAGTGCGTACCAGGGCGCAACCCTGGGATATGAGCAGAGCTGCCAGGTTCATCGTAAACCTGCTGGGCTGCACACTCAGAAGGCAGTAGTGGTCACTTACAAATTAAGAAAACTGAAATGTAGTAGGTGAGCTTACTCACAGCAGGGCTCTCCATTATTTAGAAGAATTGTAAGAAACCAGGCACTCATACGACCTGAAGATTTATACCACAGAGTTAGACCAAAAATGTCTGCAAACAGTTTACCTGGGCTGAAAGCTTTCTTAATATGTCAAAGTATATTTCTTCTCAACGTTTCTAAGAAAAAAGTCATTTGTGTGATGAAAACCACAAAAGAAATGATGGGTACCATGGGGACAACACGGTTAACATGTAAGTGCTAAAATCTTCCCGTTTGCATTTTCTCTAACTAATGAAATGACAAAACTTCAAGAATGGCTTGAAAAGCACTCTTCCCTGCCTTAAATTTTTCATAAATTACTGGGTTTTGGACATAGAACAGGCTTGGGGTCCTTATAGTTGTACGAGCTTGGGATCTTATCCTCTGCATTTCATCTAAATAAGGGAATAAGGTTACCCTGAAGAGCCAGGCATCCCTGCAGTCTTGAGATTCGGCTGAGGCAGGAGGATCAGTAGTTTTAGGACAGCATGGGCTATATAGCAAGACCCAATTTCAAAACTCAAACCCAAACAATGGAACGTTTTATGCGGTTCTAAGAATTAGCTATCAAGAGGACTCTACGACGATAATGAAGTAGCAGGAAGCCATGACGCTGTCTTCCTATCCAGACAACTACCGTGCAGACAGCGATGTCTCACAGAGCTATCTGGGAAGCATGAAGTCTGTGGACACCTTGGAGTTTTCAGGGGGACCTCCAGTGGTAAATTGTGGCTAACATGGTCAATGCCACCTCACAACACAGCAGCATTTACCCTCTCCCTACTCTTGAGAAGCAGTCATGTATATGTTCTTAATACTTTTATAAAGCAAATAACTACCAGGCATAACGCCACACAATACAAATATGATTTTTACTTACTTTGTAAGTAACCAAATTTAAATTTTCTAGTAATGATTGCTACTTCCTTCTAGTGTACGTCCCAAAAAATTCCAGCATGCCTGCTGTTCCTTACAGACAGAGAAATAAGACTCGGAATTCCCTGTCACAGTGGGAGCTACAGCTCCTTCCTTGCTGCGCTGTAGAACTGCACACTACTCTGGACACCTAAACCCTGACCGGTGACTAGTGCATCTGCCTGGAGTGGTACAGAGGCAGAGGGTGGAGGTGGAAAAGGGTCCACTGTCACACATACCTCCACTGCTCTCTAGCTGAAGTCAAGGTCCTGGATTTAAAGAGCAGACTGCTCCCACCCCTGATCCATTCTCTTTTCCTCCTGTTAGGAGACAGGACATTATAACAAATGCCTCTGACTACGGAAAAACTGAGAAGGTAATCTTCCATGCCCAGGTAAAAATGTAGGCTCAGAAAAGTTCTGAAGAGACCTTAATGTTGTATCTCATGCTGAGTTTGGAAAGAACTTACAAAAAATCAAAGCAACAAAACCTCCAAATGATACCTAAAAAATATGGGCTAAGAGGTGAAGACAGTATGGTTTTCAGAGATACATTATTATACTCAAATATCCAGTTTTCAACAAAAATCATAAAGAACAAATACAAAGAAATGAGAAAATATGGGCCATTCAAATGAAAAAGTTAAATGAAATTGTCCCTACAAAGATCTGATGGCAAATTTAAATGTTTAGGGGTTAAGATGATGATCTCAAAGAGGATCACATAAAGAAATATGTGGAGAAAACAAACAATGACCATTTGAACAAGATGGAAACCCCAATTGAGAGACAATGAACTCAGAAAAACACCACAAAACAGAAACAAAGACTGAAATGAAAATTCACTGGAAGGATCAAAGGCAGATTGGAACAGGTGCAATATATCCACCAGAGCTGAAGATAAAGCAATGGAAATAATGGGTTTGTGAAACAGAAAAAAAGAAAGTACTAAAATGAACAGACATTGGAACCTATGACATCACACTGACTACTGTATGTGCTGTACACAGTCCAAAAGAAGGAAAGAAAGAAAAAATGGAGGACAGATAGTATGGTTTGGGGATTCCAGAATAAGACTAGGGAAGAGGAAGCAGTGAAAAATCAGCCAAGCCCGATGACAATGCCAGCAGGCAAAACACAAGGAAGCTCATGATCTCATAGCCTAGAGTCCAAGAAAAACAAGGAAATTGAAGAGGCGTGATCAGCTGTGCACATAACCTCACAGTGGCTGTGACTAATGTGTGCAAGACCTGCATAAGACCACATAAGACAAAAATCCCTTTTTTGGGGGGGACATGAAGTCCCAGCCCAGCTGAGGAACTATTGGCACCTGATGACTGACAGAAAGGGAAAGTTTTCTTCAGGAATGTGACCCCTGACAGGCTATCCATTCTACAGGAGATGGTCCTCCACCAATGCACATACAAGCTGCACAACTGGATTCAATGTTTTGCTGTTGTTGATTTTGTTTTTCTAAGGAAGAGCACATGAGGTTGAGAGGGAAAAGTGATGGGGATTAGAATGTCCTTTCTGTGCCAATGAGTTCAAGGCCATTCTCTTCTTCCTCTTCTGACAGATTCAGGGTATCTGGTCTTATGCTGAAGTACTTGATCAATTTGGAGTTGACTTTTGTGCAGGATGGTAAATATGGATCTATTTTCTTTCTTCTACATGCAGCCATTCAGTCTGATGTGGCCAGTTGTTGAAGATGCTGTATTTTCTCCAGTGTATATTTTTGACTTCTTTATCAAAACTCAGAAGTCCATAGGTGTATGGACTTATGTCTGTGTCTTCAATTCCATTTCACTGGTCAATATGTCTGTTTTTATGCAAGTACAATATTGTTTATATTGTTGTAGCTCTGTAGTATAACTTGAAATATGTAATGGTGATATCTGCATAAGTTCTTTTATTATTTAGGATTCTTTTGCTATCCTGTTTTTTTCTTTTTTTCTGTGTGTGTGTATGTGTGTGTGTGCATGTGTGTGAGTTTGCATATGAAGTTGAAGATTGTTCAGTTTCTTTGAAACTGTGTTGGAATTTTGATGGGGATTGTGCTGAATCTGTAGACTGCTTTTGGTAGTATGGCCGTTTTTACAATATTAATCCTACCAATCTATGGGCATGGGAGTTTTTTCTATCTTCTGGTGTTTTATTCAATTTCTTTCTTGAGTATCTTAAAGTTTTTACTACACAAGTCTTCCATGTGCTTGACTGGTGTTGTCCCAAGGGTTTTATTGTTGTCATTTTAGGATACTGTGAAAGGTATCCTGATTTCCTTTTGTCATTTGTACATAGAAAAGCTACTGATTTTTTTGTGCTAATTGTGTACCCTGTTACTTTGCTGAAGGTGTTATCAGCTGTATAAGTTTCCTGGTAGAGTTTTTAGGGTCTTTTATGTATAAAACCATATCATCTGTAAGTATATTAAATTATTTATAAAGTTTTAAGTAATTGGACTATTTATAAAATAGCTTTAAAATATCATAATGAAAAAGTATTTTTTGTTTTGAGACAGGGTTTTTCTATGCAGCCCTGGCTGTCCTGAAACTTACTCTGTAGACCAGGCTGACCTCAAACTCACAGATCCACTTGCTTCTCCCTCCTGAGTGCTGGGATTAAAGGCCTGTGCCACCATCGCCCAGTGAAAAAAGTAATTATTAATACCTGACTATGTAAAAAAAAACCTTAATTGAGTAATTTCTTAAAAGAGAAACCTCTGTGTTGTAAGTGTCCTCTCATTAGAATGAGAATAAAGATCTATATCAACACTTATTTAGAAAAACTAATAAAGAAAATAGTATGTTACACAATAGACCAAAATTTAGTCTTTAAAAAGAATGACATCTTTCCACATGAGACAGTATGGATGAACCAGATGGCCCTGCTGATTGAGGCAAGCCTGTCACAAATAGACAAAGATGGCAGTGAGACTTTTAAAGGATCAAACACACATCAGCAGGGATCAGAACAGCCATTGCCAGAGTTTGCAGAGCACACAGGAGGGACTCGATAGTCAATGGATTCAGTTATGGAAAAGTTATCATAAATTCGTGAGATAGGCTATGCCCCACATATAGCTAATAATAACTCTTATTTAGTGTTATTTATAAAGTACAATAGCAACAGCAGTCATGAGATGTGGTTGGGAAAAATTATGGAAAACCTAAAAAGAATGGAATTTGAATCAAAATGTTGATAAAAATGCCCTGCCTCAGCACCTAGACCGCGGGCCATTAAGGGAACTGTAGTTTACAGTGTGGTGATCATGAGGATTCCCTAAAGATTGTCCTGGTTTTCTCGGCAAACACATGCACTGCTTGAAAATGATGTTCCTGTCTGACTTGTTTACTTTCAAGTTTCTTACATATAAGTCACTTATGTGGGGGTGGAATGGATATGCTCTTATGGGTTATTCTGGTATTAACTGGAGAAATTGTTACCCTTGCTCACTGACTCTGTCAGCAGGTGAATTTGTCACCCAGAAAATTTCTGTTACCACCACCAAAAGACTTTACAGTTGGAACTTAAAACTGACGGTCTCTCCTCATTCACCAAATGTGATAAGCTTGTCAAATTTACACTCTCTGTAATCACACATTGAAATACAACAGTCAGAGACTATAAATCATGACATTGTTGGCTCTTGGTTGATACATGGTAATGGATATGTCCATAGGTTTGGTGTTATAACACTTTTAATGTAGTATGGTATATATGTATGTATGTGTATAGATGCATGTGCACATTCATATGTGTCTGGATGTGTGTGCACGTACACGTGTGTATGAAGATCCAAGATTGATGCCAGAAGTCCTCTTTAATTGCTCTTTACCTGAGTCATTGAGGCAGGGTCTCTCACTTGAACCTACAATACAGGCTCGTCTAGCTAGCCAATTTACTCCCTGTCTGTGCCTTCTGAAAACTGGAATGACTGGCAGACCACATGCCCACCAAGATGTACATGGGTTCTGGGGATAAGAACTCTAGGCCCCAAGCTTGCACCCAGGTACTTTATTCAGAGAGCCATTCCCTTGGTCCTGTTATAAAGTTTTGTATTTGTGATTTAAACAGCATAAAAAAGACTAAACGTTTTAATAAGCAGAGAAATTTAGATGTTTCAGGGTTTTCTTGGCTCAAATGATATCTTTGCTTGTATAAAATTAACTACTATATTTTCCTTAGGAATCAGTTCAGAAAGGATCCATTATATTAGGAACTAAACCATAGGAGAAGGAAATCTAGAATTCTATGATACTGGGGAAACCTCAGCCAGAGAGTAATATTAAAAATCCTAAAAATACTCAACTTTTGGATAAGGAAAGCAAGTTCTGTTCAGTTATCTACTGATCTATCTTCCAAATTCACTAATTACTTACTGATTTTTCAAATATACTGTTTAGTCACTCAGAGAACTTTCCATTTCAGTTATTTTATTTTTTCAACTCTAGAATTTATGTTTTATTTTCATCTCTTTATTGACCTTATCTACTTGATTAAGTCATCCAACCTTCCTTTACTTATTCAAGAATGGATTCTTTAGTTCTTTGACATGTTTATTTTTAAAAAATATTTATTTATTCTTTGACAATTATATATATCAATGTGCAATGTATCTTGAGTCTATACACCCCGAATTTCAATCTCTCATTTAGCCTGTACTCTGAAATATTTCTAATGGATGTTTTGAAGTTTGTGTCTGTCAAAATGATCAGAATAATCATGATTCCCCACACTGGTTTTAGAACATTTAAGTATTTATTAATGTGTCCAATAGAAAGTATCATGTAAAATACATTCTCTAAACATCTTGGGATTGCTTAAGTATTAAGTTGACATCCAGTTTTATAATTTGTGCCAACAAAAACTATAGAAACTGACCTGATAGCAAATTTTGGCTGCAGCATATTTAACCAAAAGGGGCAGCCCAGAAACTCACTTTGGAATTCAGAAGATTTATTTAACTATAGAATATCTTTAAAGTATTATAACTTGGAGAATCTAAAACAAAGATCTGGATAACTTAAAAACTTACCTGATATAAATAATCTTCAAATACAAAATAGTAATCATCATTGCTTGCTGTCAGCTTCACATCCTGCAATTAAAAGTTACAAAGCACTGAAAATTACTCAAATGAAACTGCCTCTAACTCTAAAGAATAAATGCAACATTTGGAAATAAGATTACAATGAATTATATATTTTATGTGATGTTATAGGAATTTTCTGGTTAGATTTTATTCCTATTACATATTTACTCAGCAAAATATGTACTACATTATTTAATTTCTTAAAGTTTCATTAAAACTCCTTAAGATTTATTTCAGTTAATCTCCTCCTAGATGTCTTAAAGCTAGAAAAGAAAAACCAAGAGGGTCACACACCCAGCTACAATTGTACACTCTCCCCCAGACTAACCTCCATCCTCACCTCTCACAGCTAACACACTTAGCCATTTCTCGAAACATCTCCTATGTGTTTGTCATTGGTCATTTGAAAATCACCACCTGCTCTTGGGGGGCTAACTGTGACTTTCTGCCCCATGAACTCATTCTTCAGGGATGGTTCATGTCATCTACTGGATAGAATGTTGGTCCTTTCTTTACATACTGCTGTGTGCATTTCTTGTTCTGAGACTACTTAAAAGAATTCTACTCTCCCAAAGAGACTTTTGGCTCTCTCATCTCCAGTGCCTTGCTTTATATACACTTAGCTCCATCACAGGGTCTGACACCTAAGCCATCAAAACATGTGCTTGATGGCTCAATGATGATTAACAGAAACTAATGGCCCAATTGCAGTTCTCTGTGATGTGATACAATGTATCATTACATAGGTGACCTATCCAGTAGCAAACCAACAATAGCTCAAAGAAAAAGCAAAACACCAGCATCTCCCCCAGACTGAACTCTGGGGGGGGGGGGTTCAGAGACCCCCCCAGACTGTCTCTGAACAGGTTTTATGGTGATTTGAGATGTTGATTGTGTACTTCAGGGTGAAAAGCATGAACATTCCACCAGATCTGAGTAAGAGTTTAATTCACTTACACTACTTCTAGCTGAATAACTTTGGCTACACTGCTCCAAATCCAGGCCACTGTGCTTTGATAAATGACCCCCACAAGTCTGTGTTAAAGGCTTAGGCACTTCTGAGAAGTGCTGGAACTTTAAATGCTGGTACCCAGTGAGAGAAGTACAGTTACTGAGAGGTGACTCGAGGAGATATGGACCCTGGTAACTTTCTGTCCCTTTTTTTGGACCTTAGCTGCCACGAGGCAAATAGCTTTGCTCTACCTTGACTCTTGCCCTGAGGTACTGACTTCCCAGACCAAAAAGCACTACGACTCCATAGTATGAAGTATACAGTAAAGTAAGCCTTTCCTTCTTCAACAATAGTATCTCATATACTGTCACTGTAACAACAGAAGGCTGAGTCTCCATGTCTGTTAATGGGTAGATTACTATGTTATGGGATATTTGTACACTGTGTGAAGATGTGTTCCTGTGACTGGTGTAATAAAAACTTGACTGGCCAATAGCTAGGCAGGAAAATATAGGTGGTATTTCTGGGCAGAGAGAGAACTCCAAGGTGGCGTCATCAGCTAGATGCAGAGGAAGCATGATGAGAAGTGTGAAGATGAGAAAACGAGCCTCATGGAAAAATGCAGACTAAAAGATATGGGCTAATTTAAGTTATAAGAACTAGTTAGGAGCAAACCTAAGCTATAGCCAAGCTTTTATAACTAATAATAAGTCTCCAGGTCATTTTTTTTTGCAAGCTGGCAGTCCAAATAAAGAAGTGCTGCATTACTACTTATGTCAAAAGGCATGGGAAGTGCTAAGAACAGCATCAGATTCTGAGACAGTGCTCAGCAAACTCTAAGAGTTGATGAAAGGTCCCTTCAGGTATATACTTAAGTAGATACACTACACCTTGAAGGTCCTCTACACCCAAAAGATGCAGATTCTATTGAACTCACTATATAATCAATTCAACAAGTACTCATTGGTTGATCACTGTTGACAGAGGTTTCTGTCCCACCCAGTCCCACAGCCATTTAGTCCTAAAGAAACATACAGAGACTTACATTAATTATAAACTGGTTGGCCTATTAGCTCAGGCTTCTTATTAACTCTTAATCTTACATTAACCCATAATTCTTGTCTGTGTTAGCTATGTAGCTTGGTACCTTTTATCACTGAGGCATTCTCTCTTGCTTCCTCTGTGTCTGGATGGCAACTGTAGACTGAGCCTTTCCTCTTCCCAGAATTCTCCTGTTCTGGCTACCCTGCCTATACTTCCTGCACAGCTACTGGCCAATCAGTGTTTTATTAAACCAACACAAGTGACAAATCTTTACAGGACACAAGACCATTTTCCCACAATACCCCCATTTGTTTTTTCCAAAACAATCTAATCTTTGTTTAGCTTTTTTTTTTTTTACTGATCATTATCCATAACAACTTGTAGCCAACACTCTAAACAAAGACTTGACAAACATCTATAATCCATTTTTTTTGGGGGGGGGAATGTGGGCATAGTTTTCTAGGCTACTTCCTGCTGATTGGGGGTACTGATAATCTTATGGGGGAATAAAGAAAATTTAGGATTATGGTCAAGTCCAGACTGAAATATTCTGTGAGGCTTGATCATCTCAGCCAGAAGTCTTGAGGTTGTTCTAGATGTAGAATTCAGAGGAAATTCCAACAGAGGTCCTCTGAAATGTTAGATCATCTGGGCCATCTGTTCCTACTGGAGATTTTTTCAGGGGATCTTCCTTGATCAAACCTGATTTTTCTTCTTAACCCAGAATAAATCCATAGCTTCTCATTTCCTTTATCAGTGGGGCATTCTCGTCTTGCTTCCTCTGTGTCTAGGTGATGACTGTAGAATGAGCCTTTCCTCTTCCCAGAATTCTCCTGTTCTGGTTACCCCACCCATACTTCCTGCCTGGCTTCTGGCCAATCAGCATTTTATTAAACCAATACAAGTGACAAATCTTTACAGACTACGAGACAGCAGATAAGGATGATCAGAATGAAGGACACCAAAATCAAAACACAAAGAAAATAAAGACAATGTTTATCTTCAAGAAGTCTACTCTATCAGTCAGAGAGATGGTTCAGTGATTAAGAGCACTGGTTGCTCTTCCAGAGGTCTTAAGTTCAATTCCAAGTACCCACATGGAGGCTTACAACTGTCTATAACTTAGCCCTATGGGGTCTGTTGCCCTCTTCTGGTGTGCAAATGTACATGCAAACAAAACATCCATATACATAAAAAAATCTACTATATCAATGAAAAGAATAAATATGTAATAAAAATATGGAAAAATCACAATGATGGATTAAACTGATCCATGACTATACTGCTGAAACAGTCTAGAACAATCAGCTAAGCAGCTGAACCAAACCGAAGTCAAGGGACGGATGGAATAAGTCATGAATAGCTCTGGAGAACACCTGAAACTACAGAGCACAGGGAAAGAAATGGATCACTTATCAGAGGTTCCATGGGGAAGGTAAAGCAGTTCCTTCTCAGCAAAGGTGAGACTGACTGTGAGCCAAAGGTCTCAGGGGTAACGATGATGTCTTACAGAGAGAGGCTTGTGGAATGCCAATACATATCCTCACCCAAGAGAATCCTACTGATTGTCGTTAATTCTTATTAGAGATTAATTAAGCCTTTTCCTTGGGAATGTGATAAAAAAGAATGAGAAACATTGGTATAACTGGCAGGCTAGAGTAAACAATAGAACTAGAGGTTACAGCTACAAAGTAGTTGTTGGGGAGGTGAGGAGAAGCTAGTATAAATAAAAGAATCCAAGAGTTCAATTCAGGGAAGAGATTTATTATCCTTTCCCACACATTTCTTGAACCATAATCATTCCAGGGGAAATGTTTATATTTACAGTATAATTCCTGGCACCAACTACTCAATGTATCCCTACTACATTTTTGAGTAGGTACTTATTAAGTTGAGATATACTTGAGCACATATTTACAAGATTAAAGAAGTGTGTATTACATAACCACTTAAAGTACAGAACCACTCTTGCAGAAGATTCAAGTTTTCTCACTTCAGACAGCTCACAACCACCTGTAACTCTGGGGGCATCTGCTTCATGTGCACACTCCCATATGAAGACACATACACATAATTTAAAATAGCTTTATTACAAAGAAAAATATACAATAAGTCCTAAATAATTATGAGATAAATAGGATTAAAATATTATAGTCTTGTTTTAATTTTAGTTGTTTTCCACTTTCTTTGTGCGGAAGACTTGAATTTAAAATGGCCAATTTTTTTTCTCTTCACAAAAACATGAAAGGGCTAGGAAAAGGACATAAGAACAATTCCCTCAAAGAAGACAACACTGCCTGCAGACCTCAAGCTTGGGAAACCAGCCTCAACTTCACAGGTACAATGATCACATCTGTTATTTCCTCCCTCCCTTGCCTTCTTTCCTTCCTTACTTTCATTTCCCTTTTTTTCTGACAAGGTCTCATGAAGCCCAGGTTAGTTTCAAACTCACTAAAAATCCAAGCATGACCCTGAACTGGATTTAGGGTACAGGCATCCTAGACATGTACTATCACACAGTCACTCAAACTGATTTTCAAGTTTAATATGTACTTTTGTCCTGCAGGGAGAAAGCTTTTCACTGTAAATGCCACTGATGAAATGGAAAACCATGAATACTTTGACTTACTTTATAAATTAGACTGTCCACCAAAAGGTCATGCTGTATCACATTGGTCTTAAGTTGCTCATAATACAGGATGTCCTGTATTTAAAAGTAAAATATATAAAAATTTAATGTTTATAATGTCATCCTCAAACCTTAATAAATAATAGTCAATAATAAAATTATGGCATTAAGAGGTAGAGACTCTGTTTTATCCATTATCCATCTATTCATTACTATGTAATGATGGTTAAGTAACAGTAGATGTTTAATAATATGCCTATTTTCATCACAGGTACCAACTGAGTATTCAATCAATATTTGATAAACTTATTAACTATAATAATGACTATAACATTTATGAACTAGGTACATCTTATGATTACTTTAACAAAGTTAAATAGAACACTGAGAACTATCTCCACCCACATTTGAGGAGCTTAGGTCCAGAGAGCACACTAACTCACTGTCCAAAGCCACAGACTGGTCATTGTCAGGGTCCAAGGCTTTACAGCTGGGCATGACTACTGTTTGCTTTTCCCCTTCACAGCTGTGAAGCATCTAGATGTGAATACTAGGAGAGCTGTGCTGGGGAGGTTGCTTGTTCGTTCCTGGCTGCCCAGACCATGAAATAATCACATAGAAACTATATTATTTGCAATACTGTTTGGCCAATAGCTTAAGCGTATTGCTAGCTAGCTTTTACATCTAGTTAACCCATTTCCATTATTTTGTATTTTGCCATGACACTGGTAGCCTACTGGCAAAGTTCCAGCTGGCAGCTTGCATCTTTCCCCTCTTGCAGCTACATGGCATCTCACTGACTCCACCTTCTTCTTACCAGCATTCAGTTTAGTCTCCCCTCCACCTCTACCACCTTGCTCTATTCTGCCCTATCACAGGCCAAAACAACTTCTTTATTGATTAACCAATAAAAGCAACACATATACAGAAGGACTTCCCACACCAGAGCTGGTCCTTGGTAGAAGGCTTCTAGGTCAGCCCTGGTTCAATTCCTTTAAGACTTCACTCAAATATCTGTATATTTTCGGGAAATTATTATTGTGCCTTGTATCAAAAGGTCTTACTGTTTTCTGCCAGTGTCACAGCTAATTATCAGCACCAGCATTTTCCACCAAAGTAAAAGTTATAGAGCAAGGGCTACTCACTAATTCGCTACTCCGCTTTCTTTAATAATGATTTGGTTATTCCTAGACACTTAACCTCCATAAGAACCGTAAGGTGACTCATCTGGTTAAAAATAAAAGAGATTTTTACCAATTTTTTTAAGAAAAAAGTGCTATTTTATGATGTTAAGGCATCCCATCCAAGAATACAATGGAGATCTCTATCGTGTAAGACAAATCTATAATCTTTTGTGGGCTCCAGAGAAAGCAAGCAGCACTTTGTTGTGAGGGAAAATGGATACATAGCATAAGCTCAGAGTGGGGCCTGGCAGGTTTCCTGGGGGTCAGATTTTACTGCTCTCTGTCTTGTGTGTGTACTGTTTTCCTCATGCGCTCCAAGGCTCTCTACATTAAACTTTTTCATGTTCCTGCTATAATAAACTAGGTGTGTCTCACTTCTGTATTTCAAGTTGATAATATGGATAAAAGCTACTAATTTTTAAATATTTTTATAGAATATCCTACTAAAACATTTTAATTATAGTATTTTTTTTGTTTTCTAGGTACTTAACCATGGTCTTAATACATGTGACTATCATATACACCCAGAATATGACTGTGTGTCTTCTTCCTCCAATCATAAACCAGTTCATATCCCCATTGGTTATATCCTTAGAAACGGTGCTGCATAAATAGTGGTACTATTGCAGCCTCATGCTGATTCCAGCAAGAAGAATGTGAGAACCACTGTTCAGCTTGTACTCAGATTGCTTGTAGGAAACAGTCTTAAGTTTGAGTTACTTTCAAGATTTGATTTTAAATGGCTGTTGGGTTTAATCTGGCCCATATGGCACCTACTGTGACTTTTCTCTGTTAACATGCAGATTATGTGATGGGAGGCCCAGTAGCTGGACCACCCGTTACTCAGTGCCCTGCCAGTGTGAATTCAGTTGATCCAAGCTGGACAGGACAGGCTGTCTTTTCCCTTCCCTGACCATCTACAGTGTGTGTGTAGTCTGAGGGGGACAGTTCTGCAAATTATTAGTGAGATATTGTATTAAGCTACATTTTATCCTAGCGCTTTTATATCTCTCATATAAAGCAGAGATAAACACAGTTCTGGTAATATCTGAGAAAACAGTGCTTTAGAAAAGGTTCAGTGAGTTTACACTATTAATTTTTATTTTGTTCTTTAAAACTTTTTGCTCATATGTATGCTGGCATATAAACAAATGAAATCAAATCAATTATAGGAATTATTTCTATGGGCAATATACACTGAAAAAATTTACCTGTATTTATAACTTCTGAATTATAAAAGCTCACAGAGAATTTTACTTTAATTGCTATGCCCAACAATACTTAGTTGCAAATGTACTTGTGATGGGGGAGAGTCTTCTGTTTTGTGTTGATTTTATTGGTTAAATAAAGAAACTGCCCTTGGCCCTTTAATAGGACAGAAAATTAGGTAGGCAGAGTACACTGAACAGAATTTTGGGAAAAAGAAAGCCAAGTCAGGCAGTCGCCATGATTCTCCCACCCAACACAGACGCAGGTTAAGAATCTCCCTGGTGATCAACCTACCCCTGGACCCAGCAATGCCACTCTTGGGAATATACCCAAGAGAGGCCCGATCATATGACAGGGGCATTTGTTCAACTATGTTCATAGCAGCATTATTTGTAATAGCCAGAACCTGGAAACAACCTAGATGTCCTTCAATGGAAGAATGGATGAAGAAAGTGTGGAATATATACACATTAGAATACTACTCAGCGGTAAAAAACAATGACTTCTCGAATTTTGCATGCAAATGGATGGAAATAGAACACACTATCCTGAGTGAGGTAACCCAGACCCAAAAA